ATCTTATCAATGGTTAACTATTTTTAATAATTAAATTAAATAAAAATAATGTTTTATAATTTTTAATAAGCTTACCATTATGGAGGTCGCGATAACCTTGTCCATTTTTCACTCATATCTGTTTGCAATAAATCGCGAATTAATCGCCTGATTGCGGAACGGAAACGGGAAGCCCAATTTACAGTACACGGTGGATGCATAAAGAGGAAAGTCTAATTAAGATCCTCGAATTTTACCTCTTTTTTCATTTCACCTGCACTTTGAAATATTTATTACAATTAAGCCCTCAGTTTTTTTTTTTTTTTGCAAAATTTAATAAATTATTTAATAACTACTAGTTGTTTGTCCATATGTCTTAGTCATGCAGGAAAAAAAATTCAAGTATACTGTTCTTGGGTAGAGTTTTATTTTGATTTTTTAGACTATTATTGAATTTTATTTGTTCTATTCATACCAAAATTGTCATCCACTAGGTTTTTTTTTCTTTTTTTTCTTTTTTTTTTGTTTAATTCAATTGTTCATGTACTCAATAGATCCAAAAGCCAAATGGCTTCCAAGGTATGAATTCATGTGAACAATATCTATTTAGAGTATAATGTATCAATCACAGATATATAATTGATTCACTTTATATGGAATGATTAATTAATAAATATAAAATCAGTCACAAATACATAGTTGATTCATTCTATAATCATCATATTAATGACAATTTTGATTGATTATGGTAGAATATTGTAATTAAAATTTTGAATTAACATAATTAAAAATAATCTAAAATATATGCTCTACCCTAAGCATATATAAAGGCTCATATATGTAATTTGTTCAATACCTCATAAATATATCAATAAAATGCATATTTTTTTCTTTTTTCCTTGTATTTTCTTGCTTTATATTTTCTAAGTCCTTACAAAAATTATAAATCTTTGCAAATTCTTTTAAGAATAGAAACTTAATAATGCCAATTTGTCAATTAGTCTCGTACTTAAAAATTTTTTTTATCCACATTATAATTTTCTCTTCAGGTTATTTTACCTCATTTATATTTCATATATAATTAAAATTATTTTTAACAATACTTTTTGTTTTCTCCAAAATCTTTTCTAAGATTAATATTATTGTTGAATTTTTATTTGATAATTCAAACTATTAGGTGCAAGTGTCTTTCACCTTTTCCATATTTGCATATAATGATATCAAATTTCTGCCTACAATTGATCAAAACAGTCCAAAAAAATATTGAATTTTCCCCTTTTTTTTTGGTACATGAATTTTTCATTTTTTTCATCAAAAGGTCTAGGAACAAAGTAACAAACATTATCAAGATTAAAATTTGGCACGCAACAAGGACATTATTAAATTACATTATTTTACTCTTTGAAGGTATCTTCATTATCAAAAATAAATATATATGCATATATATATATATATATATATGTTCTTCTTAATCTTTTATGGTAAAGGAAGGGTTTAGCAGTCATCCTATTGGATCATTCCTGTCAACAGGGTTT